TCTTTGGTCTACTAAATAAGCTTGACATAGGTAAATCCACGGGGCCCGACGAATTTCATCCTAGGCTACTGAAGGAATTATCTGACTTCGTTGCAAGCCTTTTAAGTATATGCTTTAACCTATCCGTAACGCAGGATCGTTTACCAAAAGACTGGAAAAACGCCATGGTAAGTCCTGTCTTCAAAACAGGTACGAAACACAAACCTGAGAATTACCGCCCCGTTAGCCTAACTAGTGTGGTTGTTAAAATCCTAGAAAAGATTATTCGGAAAGAGCTGTTTAAGTATCTCAATAAAAACCGGATCCTTTCGGAGAAACAGCACGGTTTCAGAATAGGTTATTCTTGTCTCACTAACTTATTAGTGGCTCGTGAAAGCTGGTGCGCTCTTAAGGACCAAAAGTTACCTGTAGACGTAGCCTTCATTGATTTCAGCAAAGCTTTTGATAAAGTTCCGCACAGCCGGCTGTTATATGAGCTGAGAAATGTCGGAATTGGAGGCAGTCTATTGATGTGGATAAATAACTTCCTAGTTGGGCGTCAGCAAAGAGTTCGGGTGAACTCGAAGTTATCTAGCTGGGGAACTGCGCTTAGTGGAGTGCCCCAGGGCACAGTTTTGGAGCCAGTGCTATTCCTCTTGTATGTAAATGGACTTCCTTATCTCCTATCATCATCGGTCTTGCTATATACTGACGATGTCAAGATATGGAGAACGATACGATGTAAGAGTGATAGCTTAGAACTTCAAAATGACCTGAAGAAATTATCTGAATGGTCTCAAACATGGCAGTTGCCGATAAATACTTCCAAGTGTGTTATGATGCATATCGGTCATCAAGGCACAGATACATACACGATGAATGACACTGAGCTACCTGTCGTCCAGACATATAGTGACTTAGGAGTTATCGTTAGTCAAGACTTAAAGACTACTGCACACTACCGTGCAATAGCCGCCAAAGGTTTTAGAACGTTATGGTCAATACGTAGGGCTGTAGTGGCATTGGACCATAACCACACAATCTTCAAAGCTGAACATAAGACTACTCAGAAAATAGATATTCAATATTTAACACGGAGAAATACCTTACAATGGATAAGGCGCGAACAATGAATTGAATGGACTGGAGTTGATCGAGTGGCATGGATCGGCCATGCAGGCGTGGTCTCTGCTGAATGTTATCTTATTTCTTCTATTCATATTAAATATATTGTTCTTTCTCTAGCCTTACCTTGTTCTACATCATGTATTGGTAATTGATACGATACAGTGAGTTGGTGTAGTCGATGGTGTGACTTCCACGTAAGATCTTATAGATTAGGCAGTTATATCATGACGAATCTACAAATTTAGAATTAGGTCTATTATTAGAGCAGTACTAATATCATAGTAGACCATAGTTCTACAGGGCTTTTAGTCATGTCGACGCTAAACCGTTTTTGACTTTGTATACAGTGTTCGTACGTCCTAAACTTGAGTTCTGCACACAAGCGGCCAGCCCCTGACTAAAAAAAGACAGTGAGCTTCTGGAAAGGGTTCAGAGAACGGCGACTAAGCTGATTCCCGGAATAGCGAAGCTCCCGTATGAAGTTCGACTGGCCAAGCTGAACCTTTTCCCGTTGTCATATCGCAGAACTAGATGCGACTTGATTACAGTCTACAAATTGCTTAGTGCCAAATTCGCACCTGATATGCCCTCATTTTCTTGTCTTCCAAAACAGAGAATTTACGACGACACTACGAAAACGTTCACAAGCCCAGAACAAATTACTTGTCAGCTGGCTATCGACTTTCCCATGGAATCATCAACGAGTGGAACTCATTACCTCAGCACGTGGTTGAGGCTCCATCCGTCCATTCTTTCGAGAGAAAGTTGGATCAACTGAGAGACCACCATTGCCAGGATTAACACAGGCCATCAGGCCTCTTGTCCTTCCCAAACTGAAACTGAAACAGATTCAACGGCCGTTTGAATCACTACCAAACATGTTGGGAGCAGTCGCGCGCCGGAGAGTGCCAAACGAATATTATAAATCCTTCAGGTATTGCTTATCTGTAAAAGAAATGAGAAGGAGGCGGCAGAAACTGGTCGGGAAACAGCGAGTCATAATATGTTAGTAGGACGTTGGTTAAACGTAAAGCGATTAACCATAGAAATAATGAAAAGAACAAAGCGTTTAATTGTTCTATCAAGTCGCGCTGAAATATATAGCTTTAACAAGCAATTCAGTTCCTCCGATGACAAACGTTAAGTCTGTCGCAAGAGTAATGATGATATAGCGATAGTAGGATAAGTGTATTATTAATCGATGTCCTTGTTTGTACTGTCATTAGTTTAAATTTGTAAGTCGGACAGTGTCGTTGACAGCTATTAACTAGTGTCAAATTCTAGTTATATCTATATCTAACAGACTAACCGTAAGTACAGAAGTATAACCGTGAAGAGTGGTGGTGATTTCGTTGTGTGAAGCTATTAATCAACTTGTAGTCAGAGTTAGAAAAGTCGATGACTGCTGTTACAGTCAGTAAGGGTCGAAAGCTGCAAATTGACAGCAAAGGTGGCACGGTGAAGTCTCTAAAAAATGATAAACAGTGAGTGCTGTGTGTTTGTTCGGTTAGTGAACAGAAAAATATCTAAAAGAACATAAGAAACCAAGAGTGTCGCTTTGGACTCATGTCAATGATACCAGTGAAAAACACTGTCAGTGTTGGGATAGAGGCGATAATGCAGTTTCCAGTTTGCAGGAGATTCGCTCGACTGCATAAACTGATGATTCGCGCGAATGATAATGTCGTCAGACCACCAATTGGACTGGACAGGTTTTAAATCGTTGAGTAGTTGAACAGCCGATTTATGTACCGAAATCATCTGCTGAATAACAGCCACGAGGAAACAGTACTTCGTAAAATAAAGTACGACGTCGAAGTAGAATAACTACAATAGTTCGGATATGTTATGAAGTCAAATCTAAATAATATCGTTCTTACGTATACTGACAGTTGCACTGAACGTTCGTTTAGGTATTATTTGCGTCACAGTTTAACGTGTGAATAAAAACATATACGAAAACTATGGTTGGGTTCGTGGAGAATTTTTGAGGACGATTAGATATTTTCCAAACCCGCATTTTATACAAATAAACCGAAAATGGAATTAAAATGACTGTCGTGTAATAAGGAAATCGAGCCATGATTTACCGTGTGAATTATTAGCAAATACAAGGGGTATAATAAACATTAATTAAAATGGTAACCACCAATGTAACTAAAGTTTAGAGGGTCCAGGTAACATACCCATTTCGTAAAAGGCTGATACAAAGAGCTTATTACCCAGCGTTAAGTGACATATTAAGTACGACAACGTGTGTACTTGAGACATGGACTAAGCGTGCTCGTGTACATGCAATATGTTTTACCACAGTATGTCGACTAACGCAGTGAACCTATAAGCTACCGACCAGTGGCTCTCTCTACCTCCAAAAATTATAGAGTCTCTGATATGCGAAGGTATGTACGATTATTTATTATCCATAAACTTCTGTTCACTCCAACAGTATGGTTTCAGGAAGGGGCATTCTAGTATAACCAACCAGATTGGCAACCACGCTTGATCGCAAGGGAAGGTTGATATCATTTAACTTGACTTCTCAAAAGCTTTTCATAGGGTCAACCATATATGTCTAACGAATGAGTTCAAACGATTAGATATCAAATCACCTCTAATTGATTGGCTCACTTCATATCTAGGAAATCACTTTCTCTCAGGCTGTGGAATATCTTAGTTGATCTCAGATTCTAGTCTCATGAAGAGAGCATACCGTCAGTCAACCTTTACTCATTAGAGCATAAGCGTCCTAAAGGTGACCTATTAACTTACAACATCCTTTGCACTTCTAGACATCCCGTTGAAAATCTACTTAAGCTTAGTCCTAACACATACCTTAGGGGTAACACCTAGAAACTCTAGACATAACACAGTAGAACGAACTGTAGGCACACTTCTTACTTTCTAAGAATGGTTAAATACTGGAATTTGCCGCCAGCTGAGCCAGTCCAAGCGACTTATCAGGAGTTCTATAAGAGGAAACATGACCTATTCTTAAGGACCGCGAACAGTATGTCACTATGATTTACTAACATTTTTTCTTTTCCCTATTTTATTGATAATATACCTAGGTTCCTGCCTGGAGGTATCGGTGATTCACTGCTACCAGATATACTTAAGATATTCCTCTCTAGAAGTATTCCAAGTTGAAGGAGATTTAGGAGTCATGGTACCCTACGTTTTGAAGTCGTACACTAAATGTGACAAAAATGCCTTTCGAGCAAACCTTGCACTGGTAACATTGAAGCGCTTTTTGGCCGGTTCTACGGAAGAACTCTCCACATAATTTTCAACAATTTTATTCGCCCCATTTAGAGTACGAAACATAGTATTACCTCCCCCACTCAAAAAGGATAAGGACACTCTGGAGCGTACCCAATGGCGAGCCACGAAATCAGTTAGGAGACGCAAATTCAAGCCTTATGAAGAGCGTTTCAAATCACTAAACCTTTCCCTATTAAAGTATAGGTGTCTTAGAGGCGACCTTCTAATAAATTCCAGCATCCTTAACACTTCTGGACTAAGGATTACATTTTATTAGGATTTACCAATTTCTTTTTTGCCTCTGTTACCGTTAATATACCTAGGTTCCTGCCTGGAGGTATCAGTGATCTAGTGCTACTGGACACGGAAGCCCGTGAGCGAAAGCTTCTTCTATTCTGTCCACAACCATTTGAATCATTTAGAACCATTTGAATCATTTGAAGTGCCGTCTGATCGTACATCTATGGTGTGTTTGAAGACAAAAAGATACTTAAAGCTGTTATAGTGTAAACTCATAAGTTCAGTTTACCCTCTATCAGAAGAAATAAACATTATCAAAATGAACGTTATGCTATTCTTTACCTTGTTCAATTGACAATGAGCTAAAGATAAGCGCACTGTTCCTTAGGTGTGTTACTTAATCGCTTTCACACATGTGCCCGGCGTGTAGTTTCGTTCTAGAGAATTCTTACTGAAAATTTTATAGCCTCAAAGTTTATAAGACTGACCTATGTTTCAACTAATTTATTACGACTCATAACTATCTCACTTTTATCTTTTGTTGTCGTTGGATGCTCCTAGTACCACATCATAACTTACCAAGTTATCCGATCTCGTATACTACTCAGCATAACATCATTATTAAAGTTGGTATTGGCTCCATTCGAAAGCATTATTCACGTTTCACATATGACAGTAATCTTCACCTGGGATTTGAATAATTCTGTAGTGAATTTTGTTTTGTCATTAGTGAATTTGTCATTACATCTAAATCTCGACATTTGTACATCACAAGTCCGTGATGTACAAGAGTTGATCAATCTCAATCGGTTTATAATAGTAACATGGTTTGTATCAGACCAAATGCAGTTCTCATACATTGATTCATACGATAGAATTTCTGCTCCATAATGATGAATCAGTCCCATTAACAGTTCACTGTGTTTTTGGCATGCAATTCAGTTATATCCCTCAATAATATCTCTTAAGCTGTTGTTTCGCGGCCCAAGGTTTAGAACTCGCATTCTCAAACTCAGTTGTGTTGGGAAGGTAGTATATTTTTGCTCATACATATGTACTATAAACATTATAGTGTATCATTTAGCTGTCTATTTGTTTCTATCCGGTCTTCGTTTGAAGCCCTGAGATCGAATGAAGTTATTTATATTGCTGACAGATGTAATAGGTTCGATCGAAATTAAAATCTGGGAAGGATGTGATTGAACATGTAAACATCTTTAAACAGAGATTTTTTAAATATTTACTTACGAAAGTAAACGATAAGACTTAGTAATGGTTAGACGCAAGCTGTGGTCAATTCGGCAATCAAAACAGAAAAATACCCTCACATAGCTTACAGTGACACTAAATCTTTTAAAACACTGTTCTAAGTACCCGATAATGTTTCCATACGATTGGAAGCTAAAAGTTTTCTGCAATTCATAATATTTGTAAAATAATGGGCATTATTCCGTCATATATAATAAAGTAGCTCATATCGTTATTTTCATCTTAGTGTCCTCTCTTAATAAAAGTCCGAATATAATTAGATGTTAGATGTAATGACATGCAGCAAATATTAGTATTAGTCTGGGATCATGTATATCAAATTTGATCTGCTTTAAACCTCGTAGCTTCTCTATCATATGTAGAATTTAACATGTTATCATGTTTTATTTATTGGCAGTAAAATTTGAGTCATTTGAAATCCTCTTGCTGTCTTGAGGAATGTCTATTACCGTGTTTTAAGGCTCTAAAGGTAGATCGAACATTTTCTCCTATCTTTGAACTGACTCTCAGTTTAGAAGAAAAGTTCTACTAAAACACTAAATATCTATCCAAGTTGTTTCATATGCTGTTCTGGTATTTTCTGCTTTTTTCTTTTGTTTAGTTGATTTTCAAATATGGAATCTATCGATATTCATTGTTCTGCCTTATGCACAGCTAAAAATCGGCACCTGTCACTTCCTACGTCTACAGATGTCTCAACTCCATTTCGTTTTGTAATTATTGCTGACCCACAGCTTGGTTTACTTGAACAGTATGTGGAGAAACGTCCTCGACCCCACCACTGGGATAGGGAAGTGAAGCTTGTTAGTAGGGCAGTAAGTATCATAAATCGTCTTTGTCCGAAGCCAGCTTTTGTTATCATTTGTGGGGATCTTGTTAACGATTATCCAGGTGGTTCTGATAGATGTAAACAAACATCTGATTTGCTGGAAATACTGTCTCATCTCAACAGTGATATCCCTCTTATTGTGCTTCCAGGAAATCATGATCTTGGGAACCGCCCTGATGTAAATGACGTGCAGGACTATATAAGTATGTGGGGAGATGATTACTTTAGTTTCATATTTAACCGAACAAGGTTTATTGTACTTAATACTCAATACCTAGTGAATGACTCGAAGTGCCAATCTTCGTCCAGTGAATTTCGTCAGTGGTTCAATGAACAACTCTCTATAAAAAATGAAAATTTTGATATGTCGGTTGTATTCCAGGTAAATATACATATTACTTCAAAATAAGTGATAATCGATAATGCTTTGCCCGCACTTTTTGGTCCTATATTTCCATATTTTTTCAAAACATCACGCTTTACATATCTCCGTCATTTTCCATGGTCTGACCACAATCTGTATTATGAAGTTCTTCCTGGCGTTATAGGTTATTTAAGTCAAATAGTGGTTTTTGACTCTATCCTAAAATAGTGGCAAGATATAGTCAGTCAGTCAGTCAGTCAGTCAGTCAGTCAGCTACAACGTAGGACCAGGCACATATGTGCATCGGTCCAGGTTGCCATACCGCATCAGCACAACAAGATGAACACCGGATTCATAGCAGTGGTTAGGTCGAAGGTAGTAATATATAAGAGAAAGATTGCATATAGAGATATAGTACAAGAAGAAAGAATTGGTTCGTAGAGAGAAAGATATGAAGCGATTTTAATCTCTTAGTTTAAGGGAAGACAGGGAGTGTATACACCGACGCCATTGTGATCGATTCTGAGCCATGTCACCAAGAGTCTCCAACCATTGGTTACGATAGTCACGCGGACCCCAACCAAGTAGTCTGCATCTACCAATATGGCTCAGACTATAAGTTAGTGACTTCAAGCACTGGTGCCACGTTTTGGTTTGGCCGCCCCTAACTTTCTTCCAACCATTTCCAATACCGGATAGCATTGCACGTCGTGGTAATCGGTGTTCAGGCATACGTAACACGTGGCCCAACCATCTCAGTCGATGAAGATTCATAACCTCATCAACAGATTTACCATCATTCCCTAATACCCTGCGTCTAATTTCACTATTACTTACCCGGTGATCCCAGCAGACGCCAGCAATATTTCTAAGGCATCTGTGGTCAAATACTAATAGCTTACGAGTGTCTTCTACTCTTAATGGCCATGTTTCACTGCCGTAAATTAAAACAGAATGGACTGCCGCGCAGTATACTCGTCCTTTTATTGATAGACGGATATCTCGCTTTCGCCATAGGTGATGCAAGTTGGCAAAAGCCAATCGAGCTTTTCGAATCCGTGCTGAGATTTCGTCCGATACCAACCCATTAGGGCTGATCAGACTTCCAAGATAAGTGAAGTTGTCAACGCGTTCGACTACTTCACTCCCTATCCTTAGTTCAGGTGTTAACGCAGACCAGTCCTGAAGCAACAACTTGCATTTAGAGGGAGAGAAGCGCATTCCAAACATCCTGGCATTGTTGCTCAGTGCTACCAGAAGACTCTGCATTTTGTCAGCGTCTTCACCAAACAGGACTATGTCATCTGCGTATTCTAAGTCGATAAGTGGACCTCCTGGTAGGAGATCGATACCCGAGAACTCAGTCGACGAGAAAGTTATTTCCATCAGTAGATCTATGATGAAGTTAAACAAAAATGGGGAAAGTGGACAGCCTTGACGGACACCACTTGAGGTTGCAAAAGTAGATGACAGTTCGCCATAAGCTCTGACTCGACTAGTAGTGTTCGAGTAAAGAGCCTTCACAAGGTTTATGTACTTCTGGGGTACGCCTTTCAATGACAGACACTGCCACAGAATCTCGCGGTCTACCGAGTCAAATGCTGCTTTTAAGTCGAGAAAGACCACCATTGTCGGACGTCGATAAGTATGCCTGTGTTCTAGAATCTGACGAATGGTGAATATGTGGTCGATCCAGCCACGACCAGGTCTGAAGCCAGCTTGAGTCTCTCGTGTTTGCGGTTCACGAGTCTTAGTTAGGCGTCTGATAATTATCGAAGCTAGTATTTTAGATATTATATTAGTTAAATTAATCCCTCTGTGGTTGTCACAGGATGATTTTGACCCTTTCTTATATATTGGGACGATAAGTGATTGTGACCAGTTAGATGGAATAACGTCTAACTCCCAGATTTTAGCTAAAATATTAGTCAACCTAATCGCTAAAATTGGCCCACCATCCTTAAAGACCTCTGGAGCCAATCCATCTGGACCAGCTGCCCTTCCTCGTTTCAGATTAACTATAGCCTTTTGAACTTCAGCAAGAGTTGGGGGACCTACTTCAATGTTCCATTCACACCGTCTGGGAATGGAGGGTAGTTGTAGAGTAGCTGAAGGTCAGTTGAACTGTTCTCTGAAATGTTCCGCCCATCGTTCTAAACGCCTGGACTATATATAGTACTATATATAGTACTCATTTGTGACCACAAATTGCTATAAGTCTACGTTGACTAAGGTAAGAACACTGGAGAAACCTTAGCACGTGTAAATTAACACGTAGCACCTATTCGTGGTGCTGTTTATTTCTCAATTCAGCTTTTTTTATTGCTATTTTTCACAGTTGATTGGAAATACTAGCTATCTATAACAAAAAACTCCTGTCACAATTGGCAGTAGGAAGAAAACGAGAGAAATCATACAGACTAACAAAGGTAAAAGTTCTAAAGAGTATAAACTGATATAAAAAATGCGACGAAGATAAATTCCATACATCGCAAAACGTACACTTCAGTGTTCGTGAAAAATAGCCGGAAACTACCGAAATATTGTCAGTAAATAATTTTGGAGCCATTCATGGTAAAATCTTGGCTATTGAGTTACAGTCTCCATGACCTCATCTAGGAGTAGTAGATTATCACACTGACTAATTGCATGTTCTCGTACTTGCCTTCGTCCCGACGGTTGCTGCTGTGTTGACGTGGTGGTTGGGCTTGCCTGTCGCGATAAACCAATCGAGCTATACTGTCTGGAACCATCATTCCTCAAGGTCCTACCATGCCAGGCAGGTCGGTTGAACAGCGGTAAGACTAAAAGCAGTAAACTCAGAGTCTGAGGGCGAAGCCGTACTGCTGACTGTACAGAGGTGTGACGGCAGTAAGATGTTTCCTTCAGACAACTGGCATAACAGTGATGCCGCCTTCCCACGAGGTCAGTCAGTCAGTAACAACGTAGAACTTCGTACGTACGTACATCAGTTCGAGTTGCCACATCACATTAGCACAGAGATGCAGTGGTCGATTTGAATTCCGTAGTGGAAGAGGTAATAAGAGTATAAACAGTAATCGGGAAGATTAGTGTTTGGAGATGTTATTTAAAGAGTATAATACAGTGAAATAAATTTGGGAAGAGAAAAAAAGAGACAAGGAGGAATAAGGAGATCAAGATTTGGGAGAACACAAAGAGTGTATGCACCTGCGCCGTTGCAAACGATTTTGAGCCATGTCATTCAAGGTCTCTAACCATCGGTTGCTATCATCTCGCGGTCCCCAACCAGGTAGTCTACACCTACCAACATGACTCAGTCCACTTGTCAGTGACTTCATGGACTTGTGCCATGTTTTGGTCTGGCCGCACCTAGCTTTTCTCCAATCTACTCCTATACCACCGAACATTGCACGCCGAGGCAGTCGCCCGTTGGGCATACGTAACACATGTTCGAGCCATCTCAACTGATGAAGTCTCACTACTTCATCTTTAACTAGTACCCGTTTCCTAACAACTGCATTACTTACTCGATGGTCCCAGGATATACGAGCAATATTTCGAACATACCTATGATCAAATACTAGTAACCTACGAATATCCCCCACTCTTACCGGCCACGTTTCACTGCCATAAAGTAGGACGGAACGAACTGCTGCACAGTAAACACGTCCTTTGATTGATAGACGGATAACTCGCCTACGCCATAAATGACGCAAGTTGGCAAAAGCTAGTCGAGCCTTCTGTATCCGTGCTGAGATTTCGTCACACACCAGACCACAAGGGCTGATGAGACTTCCGAGGTAAGTGAAGCGATCGACACGCTCAATTACTTCACTCCCTATCATTAGTTCGGGTGTCAATGCAACCCAATCCTGAAGTAACATTTTGCATTTCGAGGGAGAGAATCGCATCCCGAACATGTTGGTATTGTTGCTTAGAGTGGTCAGAAGACTGCATTTTGTCAGCGTCTTTACCAAATAAAACTATGCCATCAGCATATTCTAAGTCAACAAGTAAACCTCCTGGTAGAATTTGAACCCGTGGAAATCTAGACGAGGAAAGTGTTATCTCTAAAAGTACGTCGACGACAAAGTTGAACAAGAATGGAGAGAGTGGACAGCCCTGACGAACACCATTTGAGGTAATCAAATTTGATGACAGTTCGCCATAAGCTCTCACTCTAGCAGTTGTGTTCGAGTAGAGAGCCTTTATAAGGTTAATTAACTTCTTTGGTACTCCTTTCAGTGACAAACACTGCCATAGAACGTTACGATCGACAGAGTCAAATGCTGCTTTAAGGTCGAGAAATACTACCATTGTGGGGCGTCTGAACGTGTGTCTGTGTTCTGAAACCTGACGTAGTGTGAATATCTGATCTATGCAACCACGTCCAGGTCGAAAACCAGCCTGATTTTCTCTAGTCTGCTCTTCACGAGCTTTGGTTTGGGGTCGAAGTATTATTGAAGCTAATATTTTAAACACTATGTATGTCAAACTGATTCCTCTGTGATTGTCACAAGAGGACTTTTGTCCTTTCTTATAGACTGGCACAATCAGTGATTGAGACCAGTCAGATGGGATTACGTCCAGTTCCCAAATTCTACCTAAGGCCTCAGTTAATCTCATTGCTGATACTGAACCACCATCCTTAAAAATCTGAGGAGTAAACCTGTCAGGACCTGCTGCTCTCCCTCGCTTCAAATTTCCTATGGCTTTTTCAACTTCGTAAATAGACAGAGGACCTACATTAACTTGCCATTCAGGTTGACTGGAGATCGTGGGTAACCGAAGTGTGGCTGAAGGCCAGTTGAACTGATCCCTAAAGTGTTCTGCCCATTGATCCAATCTCCTGGATTGAGAATGTATAATATGTCCATCTTTCTCTGGGAGTGTTTCGCTAGCAGTCGGTTTCCTTAACGAGTCTGAACAATTGTCTGCTATTACCTATTGCCTCTGCCTTTTCCATCCCTCTTGCTTTCGCTACCCACCACTGTTCACGATCATTGCGTAGACTTCTTGTGAGCTTGCGCTTAAGCTGACTCCGCTTTTCATTATGTTCAGAGCCAGGTGGAATGAGTTTCCGAGCATCTATCAGTGCGATAGATGCTGCTGAGATCCAGTGTTGCTCCCTAACCTTACTGGTTACCGTACTAGCAGATATCATTGCTGTTTCTACAGCTTTTCGGATATCATTCCATGCTGCCTCGGGGTGGGCATCACATACATGGCTGCCTAACTGTTTTCCTAGTTGTTCCTGAAATATACTCTTAACTTGACTATCATTAAGTAGGCCCCTAAGAGGTTTCCTTGCAGCGTCTTTCCTACGTCCAGTAAGACGCAAACAAATACGCGCTCGCACTAGAGCATGATCTGAATCTAAGCATGTGCTCCAGAATGAGCGACAGTCTTCTGTCGAGCCCCTCCATCGGTGGCTGATAGCGATGTGATCTATTTGGGTCCAACTTTGGGACGAATTATGGGGTCGCCATGTTAAAGGATGTTTTCCCTTATGCTTAAAGTTAGTATTTGCAAGAAAGAGGCGGTTATCTGAGTATAGCTGTAACAGACGGTCGCCATTATCTGTTCTTTGAGCCACGACACCATAAGATCCACCTAGGTGTCTTTCCCTATCGCTTAGTTTACCTACTTGAGCATTAAAGTCACCGGCCACTATTACTACATCCGAGCGCTTAGCTTTTTGGAGAAGGTCCGAAAGCTTTCTGTAAAACTCATCTTTTGCATCATCTGCGCTGCAGTCAGTGGGGGAATAGGCAGAGACAACGAAGAGGCAACAACGAGTGTCCCTATCTTTTTAGATCCTTACTGTTCCGTTCAGTCGGACAACGCACAAACGACTGTCTACTGGGATCCACTCTAAGAGAGCTAGTTCTGCCCTAGGACTCAATACTATACTTACGCCGGCGAGGCCACGGGAAGCAGAATCAGGGCTTCCAGATACACGAAGTGTGATTCGAGTCGGCAGCAGTACGACTTCGCCCTCAGACCTTGAGCTGCTGCTTTTAGTCTTACCGTTCTCCAATCGACCTTCCTGGCATAGTAGAACCTACAGGAACATATGTTCCAGCCAATATAGCTCGGTTGGGTCATCGCGATAGGCAAGCCCGACCACCGCGTAGCAGCTTCGGTCGGGCTTCCTACGAGGAAGGGTGGAGTTTGAAAAGGTTGACCCTAAAGATACACACCTCGCCTTATCCCACGGATATCCGTCTCCGGCGGTAAGGTCTCAACAAGTACGGAGCTAACACAAGAATTACTCATAAGAAGGTAGTGTGTGACCGACTTCAAGCAGTTGTCCCATGGGCATTGCGACCACGCTCTCAGGTCACTAGAACCATCTGTAACCCAATTTCTTTTTTCAAGTACCTCCAGAAGAACCGTTCCACGGTATGGGAAATCTGGAAGTGATAACCGCCCTCATCCCCTAATAGCACTCAAGATCATTGTATTCATAACCAATCTCCCTCTTCAATTCCTATTAGTCCTCCTACCTCGACTTCCAACTTTAAACTTGCTTTTTTGACTTCCTCCTCAAGTGTCACCCTGACCAACGATTCTAGTGCGCAAAACACTGTTCAGGGTCTGCTGAAACCTTGCTCCAAATTACACCTTAGAGCCTTCAACGTACGCACCCTATGTCAAATCAGCTAGCAGGCCTCCTTGGCTAAAGCCCTAGAATCTCTTACCATCGATGTATGCCGTGTCTCTGAAACCCACATACGGGGATCCTAGTGTGGTCACTCACTTGATACCTGACGAAATCTTTGCGCGGGTTCAGGAGGCTCGTTTGGCTTCTACCGACTCACGTCACAAGTGGAGATGGCGAGATATCCGTCTATCAATTAAGGGATGATTATACTGTGCGGCAGTCCATTCTGTCCTACTTTACGGCTACGAAACGTGGCCACTAAGGGCAGAAGATACTCGTAAGATATTAGTATTTGACCACAGATGCCTTAGAAATATTGCTGGCATCTGCTGGAATCACTGGGTAAGTAATAGTGAGGTTAGACGCCGGGTATTAGGGAAGGATGGTGAATCGGTCGATGAGGTTGTGGATCTTCATCGACTGAGATGGTTGGGTCACGTGTTACGTATGCCTGAACACCGATTACCACATCGTGCAATGCTAACGGGTGTTAGAGATGGTTGGAAGAAAGTTAGGGGCGGCCAAACCAAAACGTGGCATCAGTGCTTGAAGACGCTAACCTCTAGTCTGAGCCATATTGGTAGATGCAGACTACTTGTTTGGGTTCAGTGTGACTATCGTAACCAATGGTTGGAGACTCTTGGTGACATGACCGAGAACCGATCACAATGGCGTTCGTGTATACACTCTCTGTCTTCCCCTAAACTGTGAGATTAAAATCGCTTCATATCTTTCTTTCTTCCTGTACTATATCCTTATATGCAATCTTTTATATATTACCACCACTTAATTAGTTACTTCTATGAATTCGTTGTTCATCTCGTGCTAATGAGGTGTGGCAACTTTTACCGATACACATACGTGCCTGGTCCTACGTTGTAGTTGACTGACTGAATTGCCTTCGAGCTTCATGTTCTGAAACGGAGGTAGATAAAGCACAACTCAATTTCGCAGCCCCATCCGTTGTCACGATGTGTTTTAACAGATAAATGTTTCAATACTCTCGATAAAACACCGAATAAGAATGTGTGAACAGTTTCTTACGTCACTTAGAGTTGCTCTAATTTGTGTTGATATTTGTAGGCTTTCATTTTTAATTTAATTAGGACAAATTAATGATTGAAGAAAAAAGTTAAATCATTCACTAGGCACTTGGGTGTGAGCTACATTAAGTGCAAGGACTAATGATACTATCCGGCTGCCAAAATCGAAGTAAGCAAAGCAAGTTTCGAACCAGGGACTTAGTGGTTGAAAGTCGGTGATCTTAACCAACGTCAAATTATGTTGTTGAAAACCAGTTTTAGAGACAGTTTCATTCATTTCTTAGTGAATACTAATCCCTTGATTTCTTTTTTACCTATATATTGTATTGCCCCAACGAGTATTAGTTTCTTTTTTGTTTCTTAATTGATATGTTAAATCTACGAATTTGATATTTTACTGATTTGTACCTTTCTCTAGTTATGGTGAACTATCATAAAATCTCGTCTGTCACTGAAAAGGATTTAAATTACATGATACAGAGATCATCTTTATTGTCATAATTGTGGCTTAGAATTAGTGAACGTGATAAAAATTCCTTTTAAAACTAGGTTTAATACTCACGATTTCTAAAATTAGCATTTTATCCCCATTTACCTAACAAACCGAATCTTTGAATTAAATAAAATTAGTCTCTTGTTACTCCTATCACTTCGTTGGCTAAAGTTGTTTTGTTTTTATCAGAACAGATAGACATAATCAAAATAGAGCCTGGGACAGATGTGTGTGTTGACTCAAGTTGTCATACCTGATTAACGAGACGAGGCGAACATGTCTAACATTGTTAGTCGTAACCAGCCAGTTAACTATCTAACACTAAAAATCAAGTAACCACTGAGAAATTGGATTTCCACTAAACTGATTACTAGTAATCACTTTGAATCCAAGTAGTTATAATAGTACAATTGAACGATTTGTTGACTGTTCATATACACATAATGCATATTATTTATTATTCCCAAATTCATTATCCTCACTACCGTTGATATTGTTATTATTGGTCTCATTCTTTTGGTTTCTATCTTGTTAATATTCCTTCCTACTGCAATATTATGAGTTTTAGCAAGTTCATACTGTCTATGGATGAATGAATCAGTCTTTTAAAAGCGTAAAACCTAGAAAATTCAAGTAAACTATTTTTGTGTAAATCTCCCTATTTATCTTTTATGTCTCATTAGTACAACTATTGTTTTCGAGGCATAGTGATTAGTGTCATGATTTACTGACCAAAACAATAGACTCTCAATCAGTAGGTCATGGGTTCGAACTCATCCTTACCTAACACAGTTTAGCGCATTATGTATTTTCACTAGCTTATACATAGAAAATGTGGGCTGCAGCTCATCATACAAACTTGTACTTAGTAAGTAATTTTTTAAAGCGATTATATTCACATACGTCATTCTAACCGTTGATGTCGATTGCTTCGTATGCCACTAATCTATCGCTGCTACATCTCTTTCTACATAACGTAAGTCTGGTCATCAAATCTATAAAATATCTTGGTATATGGTAGCTTTTCACTTTTGAATTGATTGAGTGAATCAATCAATTTTTCACATCCAATCATATTAGTATCAATAGTCTAGTCAGTCTAATTTATAATTTTTGTCGTTCAACTTTTATTGTCGTTGTTGTTCTTTTCCCCCTATTTTTTCTCTTTAGCATATTCCATTTTTCTTAGAAGATATAAATGAACCAGATAATTATTTCAATATACCAATAAATTATCGTAAAGAATTTGTCAATAAACTTTATCAACATAAAATTTATTATGCATTCGCTGGTCATTTACATAAAAACATTATAGCAAATTATACCCCATTAATAATTAATGAAAATAATGATCACACCAATAACAACAATACTAATAAATCATTTTCAATGATCAGTTCATCATCTGTTTGTGTCCAATTAGGTAATAATCAACCAGGAATTCGTCTTGTGCAAATTGATACTACTAATAATAATAATGAAAATGATGACTTTCTAAAGCATGTCTATTGGACGTTGGATGAATTAGAGGAAATTTTAAACTCTGGTAAACAACCGGAAATCTAACGGTTCTTAGACATCAGGTTATTTTACAACCTTGTTTTCTTACAATGTGTAACGTCATAATATTTGTTTTTTTTTTTGGATGGGGGCATCATGTGAGAGGACTCACGTTTGTTTTTGAGAAAAAGGAGGAAAAAAAATAGAATGTTTCTTGAAAATGATCTGTTTTTTCTTGTTTTCTCCCTATTTCTTAGTCATATGTGTCATGTTTGTGATTGAATTTTCTATGGTTTGTTTTAATTGCATCATTGCTCTAATCAATTGAATTGCTTGGGGTATTTTTTCGCTCTTAGTGTACTATTAATTTAATCATAGATCCAAAGTTCCAATAATTTGCGTTTAAAAGTTGATATTATTCAACTGATATATCATTATAGTGAAAATTCCCATTTTGCCATTTGGTAAATAAAGAAGGAACGAATTGAGCGAAGAAATTTCTTTTCAATTAGTTTTTCATCATGGCTCTACACTAATATATATACGTTTTACAATAATAATATAATACTCATCGAGTGGATACGTTACGTAATAATTACATAATGACATTTAAATTAACATTAATTAATTGGAAGAAAGAGGATGATTAATATTCAAAGTGATCAAGAAGTTGCTAAGTTGCGTAATGTAAGAAACAAAGAAGGAACAGAATTTTAACGGATGGTCAACAGGATGGTAGTTACGTAAGAATCAAGAGATGAATGTTGAGAAGTTATTAAGTTCAAAAGCAACAGAAATAAAATTACAAAAGTTTAAAAAATTACAAAAATTACAAAAGTTTTAAAAAATTAAAAAAAAAAAGATGGAAGAAGTATGAAAAATAGTTCTTTTGAAGGAAATCTTAAACTGATGGCCAGGGCAGGGAAAGTGGTTGTACGAATCTCTTTTGTATGCAAAGGTCAGGTTTGTGAACATGGATTGCGATGGCTTCCGCAATGTGCAAGAGGCGCACTCGTAAACCATGTGGCAAATTAGATGGGATATTGTAGATAACCTTAAAAGCTTTATTCAATTCGACTTGATGACCTGTGATATATCATTTCTTCTAGACATACATATGTACGTTGTTCAAAAGTAATTTGAATAATAAAGTTACATCTTATGTTTTTAGATTCTTATCTTAAATTACATACATTGCTAATGCTTCATGACCAAATCAGTATTGATGATTATATTGATGCAAAAATAATAAAAAACAGGGTTCAAATCTGTCATCTGTCTGTTTCTAGGGTATTAATGAATTTATAACACTAAGAATTACACCCAATGTAATTTATTATCGATATACAAGTTAGTGTATTTGATTTTAATCCATCCTTTTCGTCAATGAATATTTATCAATCCCTAGTCAAAGTAGATGGGGTAGGATTCGGATATAAAACCTAAGAATTAAAAGTTGAATATCCTAACATTCAAGTCATCATTCTACAGCATTATACTTTGTTAGTTCCAGTGTTAATTCACAACAATAATGTTAAGTTTATTAATAACTAGTGGAAATGAAGTTGATTTATCAGTAGTTACACCTTGTAGCCTAGTTGATAGAAAGAAGTTAATTAGTTAATCCCTAAGGCTAGACTAATCCTAAAAAAATTAATCAATCTGCTTGATAAATTTGTGTTAATATGAAAAAGTGTATGGAAATCCGAGTCGCGTGTTAATTGCCCATTAATAGATTGATCAAACAGAAACATCCTCGTTCAGACATTTATTAAAAAGGACTAATGGTTTTACACTCTCACTGTACACTAATTATATATATGATAACCGAGTATTAGCATTATACTAATAAAAATAATGATTTCCAAGAAAAACACTGAAAACATGTTGATCAGTTGTTGCTAGATTGGATATATGGTATTTCGATCGAAAATAAATTTTATGGTATTTGCGTTAGAACAAACAGTAGAATTTATGAACTATATAGAAACACAAACTGAAAGAAAATTAGATGGTTTTGAATGAGCGTGATGAGTCAGTGTTCTGTTATAATCCACTTTTTTATGCTATATGTCGTCTGCCTAGGTAAGCATTCTACAAACATCCTTTAAGTACAAAGGTTAGGTTTCTAAATGTGAATTCTTATAGTTGCACAGTGTGTAAAAGACGGGCCGTTAGATCATGCCGTAAAATTTGATGCAGTGTGTTGATTAACTTTGAAAGCTTTATTTCAGTTAACTTGGTGTCCCATATCAAGTAAGTGACTGGGAATAGAGCTCTTAATTGCCGTTAACTATTCTTTGCTTAACCAAGGCAGATGATGTTTAGTGTTACGATAAATCTCCATTTCCAATTCAACAATGAATAAGACGAACAATCTGATTGTGTAGCCATGAAATCGCCACTGGGTATTTTTCTGGCAGAGATTTATCTTACAAAACTAAAGAATAATCAGTCAACAATTAACTGTCGTATTCAGAGTAATATCTTCATAGTATTGAAAGATAAAGATGAAAAACTTACTTTATTTAACCTTGTAATTAACATTCATTCATCAATTACATTTAATTTTGATGAAAAACATAAAGTAACATCATACCACTGGGTTCTGTCTGGCTTAATTGGGTAAAAGATTGTTAGGGGCGATTAAAAGTTTTATTCTCTATCATTTAACTGGCGAAAGATGTCAAGCTGACTTAAATAAAACTTCCATCCATCATATTCCATGAAATAACTTGGTCTCTTTTTGCTGATATATGGTGTAACAATTTGATCTAATTCACATATGTATCAGTAATTACATTGGTTACAACTGATAAGTAAATTAGTCAAAATCTACTTTTTATAATAACCAGTTAAGATAGTTCTTTTACTATATTTGTTAGTCACGAAACTCACCTCACTAATCATATATTGATCATCTCGTAAATTCGATCTACAAAAGCTTATTTATTATTTTATTTATTTTAACACATAGATATTGGTACAAAGAGGCACCAAATACATATGCGCTACACAAATCTCATTCGATATGTGTGAGGGCTGTGATACTACCCAGGTGCCCGAACCGAAGCAGGTGGTTTTCTTTGGGAGCCACCCTCCAAGCCTTCGATCTGAAGGTCTGATCCACAAGGCAGTAGAGCATCGTAAGGAAATGCAGTCCCATGGAAGCCGGTGACCATTAATTAGTTCATACGCTATTCGTTCCTTCAGGATACTGGAGCCCATGTGCACCATTTGTTTGGAATCCGGTTAAAGCGACGGACATTCGCTTTTCGTCCTCTCACTTTCGTAAACAACACCCCCGCCACGAGAAGGCAGTGGGTAGGACTTCCCTGTCAGTGGCTGTATACGCGTGGCCATGAGAGAGCATTTGGAGAGGGAGAGCTGACTCTCTCCACTCTCGGCCATACCAGGGCATTTGTGGGCAAAAGCTTACAGTTATTCGTATGTTACTGGATACTTTATGGTTGGGTATAACTTAACATCTTATAGAATAAAAATGAATTAATGGACACTCATTACAATTTTCTTCTGATTTATTTAAAAATAAGATTTATGTATTTTAAATTATTCTATCACCATAACTATTTACTGAGTTTTTCATATGTTTTAGCAAACTAATTCATTAAAAATATTCACCTAATCAACATTCTCATGATTAAATGGAATAAATTGATGTTCACTTATAAAGTTTCCAATTTAATGAAAACTTTCGTTACAAATAATTCATCATTAATAATACCTGTTGGATTTGTTCGGTATTATTCAATTTCTTTTAGTATTAGAATGAATAGTACTACTATTCAAACTTATAATAGTAGTCGCTTAATTTATAGAAATTTATCATTTACTACTAATTTATATCAACCATTATCACAATCATCATCGACATCAGTAAAACCGAAAGATCATCAAACCAATTTAAGTTTGGGAATTTTTCATCCAAAGAAGAAACGTGTAGATAAAGTGAGTGTAATATATATGTACATATATGTATACATGTTTTAGTGGAATTATTATGAACTGACTAAAAAGAAAATTATTTATTTCGGTTATTTGAATGATTCACAGGATGTTTATTGTAACTTCATTAAAATTGACGACTAAATCGGATATAAAATTTTAGCTTTGATCAGTAGTCTAAATGAAGACCAGGTTTTCTTTATCATGTCCTTGAAATCAACTAATTAAAATACATGATGTGCTTGTCTATGTTCTACATATAAGTAGGAAAATTTTCTTTTAAAGATAAACATTAATAATTCCCGACCGTTGTTGCCACATTGACGTGGTGGTCGGGCTTGCCTGTCGTGATGAAGCAACCGAGCTACACTGGCTGGAACAACCGTTGCTCAAGGTCCTACCATGTCAGACAGGTCGGCTGCAGAGCGGTAAGACTAAAAGCAACAAACCTAAGGTCCGAAGGCGTACTGCCGACTGTACAGAGGTGTGACAGCGGTAAGGTGTTTCCTTCAGACAACCAGCATGACAACGATGCTGCCTTCCCACAAGAAGGGGTGGGGTTAGAAAAATCCGACCCTAAAAATACACACCTCGCCTTATCCCACTGATATCCGTCTCCGGCGGTAAGGTCTCAACAAGTACGGAGCTAACACAAAAATTACTCATAAAAAGGTAGTGTGTGACCAACTTCAAGCATCTGTCTCTTGGGCACTGCGGTCACGCTCTCAGGTCACTAGTACCACCTGTAATCTGATTTCCTTTCCAGTCACCTCCGGAAAAACCCTTCCACGGTGTGGGAAATCTGGAAGTGATAACCGTTCTCATACCACTAACAGCACTCAAGACCATTGTATTCATAATGACTGACTGACTGACATTAATAATTCGTCAATCTACTTAGCAAGTTTTTTTTTTAATATGAGATTTAACCACGTTTTCATGGTGGAGTTTTATTTTTTGTTACCATTATGTATCGTAATTCTGTAAAAGGCTTTCAACTCTCAGGTTTTAGTTTATAATTATTTGTAACAATTCTTAACCTCGTAACGCGAATTTCATTAAAATTACAGATCATTTAATGTATAGTTTGCAGTGTTCTCATCAAAACCATTTTGTTTCGATAACGATATTAAACAATAGAGACTTTGTTAATTCGTATTGTTCTCATCATGGTCAATGTTGAACCCCATTAAAGAATGTCATATATTTATATAGTTCAGATCCTATGTTATCACACTATTTGTAGTAACG